GGGCACATCCCCAGTAGGGAGTGTGCAGGAGGCAGCTGATTGATGTTTCTCTCTCATCCATGTTTCTAACTCTCTATCCCTCTCCCTTCCTCTCTGTAAAAAAATCAATAAAATATATATTTTTAAAAAGTCAATGGTAAAAATAACATCGGGTGAGGATTAAAAACAAACAAATTCTACCCCATCCCGACGTCCCCTCCCCAGGTGTGAATTCAACACCCTCTTCGAGGCTACGCTGAGCCCAGAGTGGCCTGGACGCGGCCCACCTGCCGACCCACCTTTCTCACAGAGCCCCTTAGCGTAGAAGTTGCACACAGCTGAGCTCGACTCTAGAAGGAGGGAAGGAAACAGAGGCGGCAGTTTCCCCAGAGGGCCCTTCCTCCGTCAGCAACCTCCCCAAAGGCCCCAACTGGCCCCTAGAACCAGCCTCCGAACCTCAACACCTGAGCCCCCGAATCTGCAACGGAGGGGCCTGAGGCCAGCCTGGGAGCTGGGGAGCCAGCCCTATTTTCCAGGGAACCCCACGCAGGATGTAGGAGGGGAGGCCTGAGCCCCTGGGAAGAGAGGGGCTGAGCTGGGAATCCCAGGCTGTGGGCCCCAGCTCAGCCCCCTGGTGAGCAGCAGGGCAAGGAGCTGCCCAGCAGATGCTGAGCAGAGAGGCCTGCAGAGCAGCAGGGAGGAGGAGGGAGAGGGGGAGGGACGGCTGGCGCCCTCCTCACTCACTGTCCATGCCCTGGAAAGGCAGGGGTTCAATGCCCTTTTGCATCTCTACGTCCTTCTCCAAGGTGAAGGTGAACCGCTCCAGCCCCGCAATGACCTCTTCCATCTTCCATCTCCTGCTGGGGCTGCTAGCAACTGCCCGAGCCCCTGCAGGTGGACCCTATAAAGCTCTGGAGCCCTTAAAGGGCCAGGGTCTGATCCGGGGCCAGGTGGCTGCCAGGCTACCTGCAGGCCCAGCTGTGCAGGAGCGGGGCCCAGCTGTGTCCCCCTCCCGCCCCCATGCAGGTGCAGCCACCCCAGGGCCCTCACCCCACACTGTGTGAACTGGGGAGGGATAGCAGAGCCCCACACGCTCATCTCTGCTTGTTCCCAAACCCACACACAGCATATGCACCGACCTTCCCAAACCTGCGCTCATACTTTCAACATGAAGACACGGCCCAGGTTGGCCAGAGGAGCTGCGCGAACCAACCACAGCCAGGCTGTTCGGCTTGGCAGGCGCTGGGGAGCCAGAGGGTGTGGGGGCGGGGGCGCAGAGGG